AATAAGTATTTGTTTTGAAGCCGAAAATGTTAACAGACCGGATTATTTTCCTTTTTGGTAGATTAATCCAGCCAAAGGGTTAAAATATAAATAAGAGGGGACGCCAGATTGACGCAAGGCCTTTAAAGAAGATATTACAGGTTACTTATAACTGGTAGCTACACACACTTAAAGAACTCCAAAAGAGGACACTGACCTCCCAATTCCTGTTATTCATGCTGTACAGGCTGACAAATCTATTATCTATCCAAGATATAAGTACCATTACAATTTTCCTCTAAATCCACAGTTCACTTTTTTCCTACTTCGTGTAAACACATCTGAAACAATAAAAAATTACGAAACCGAATTAAAGTGGAAGTGACCGTTTCTCTTTTTTATTAATCTTAGGGGAGGAAACCACGGGTAAGTGCCCTGTTTTTAACATAAAGTATTTATAAATGCTTGTGAGACTTCCGTACACCGAAAATGGCAGTGAAGTAAGGATCTCTTAATTGAACTATAAAATATATGTTTTTGTATTGTCAAATAGCGTAATATTTAACGTCTAAAAGATTAACTTTTAAATCATGTGGCCGAACGTGGATCTAAAATAGGAACATTCAGAAGAACGGGGTGGATCACGACAAGATCACGAAGTTAGACGCGGGGAATATAAACCCGCATTTTGAGTTAACTTCAATGCCGTAGCCTCGAGGTCGGTAACCTATGGCTCGCGAGCCAGGTGTGGCTCTTTTGATGATTGCGTCTGGCTCTCTCAGATAAAATTTGAATTGTGAAATTCGGATTTTGTGATATGTTGTTTAAAAGAATAAATCCAGAGGCACATGATACTCACATTTAATTAAATTTAATCTTAAAATAAAGTATATGGCTCTCAATGATATATATTTCCGAATATTTGCTTTCTTGGCTCTCTGATTCAAAAAGGTTCCCGACCTCTGCCGTAGCCTTACCCTAACATAAACTCTAACCTCCAACCCCTTGAAATATAGCACAAGGTCACTTGGAATATGATATATCTGTTTCGACGTCACACCGCACCTTTTGGCTTGGTATCCACAAGAAGAGTGATAGCGGATGTGTGCCTGTTTCCACTGCGTAAAGCAATCAAACCCATACTTCCGACACCGCAAACATAAATTTACTCTGCCAGACAATGAGTACGTTTGGATAAGACGGCACCACAGCAGGTGAAGTCAATTTAGAGATTGCATTAAGAAAACAAAGCGAAGCGGGCTTACGCACCCTATCCCATTCCCTTTAGTTTCAGACGTTCCTGAGGCTTACAAAACAACTATACGCATCATACTCAAAGCAAACAGGCAAATACAAAGCAGATGAGAAGTTCGTTAAAACTTGGAGGATTATTGTCCGTCTGGTATGC